AACTCTTGTCTGTTGGAGCAGCATTCTGCCAAACGGAAACAACGCTGGAAAGCAACAGTGAGGGGGAACTGTCTGTAAGGTATATAATTTTTTTTGTGATCACACTTCATTGAAGCTAAGTGCTCCTGAAAGGTTAGTTTTACTCTTATCGGTATCAATTAAGTGGGAGAAATCCTTGCTTCTATCCCCCTTCACTCTTATCTTCTTCAAGTCAGCTTCCTCCTACATCTTCAAGGTTCAGACTTACATCAGTCCAGAGGGCAACTATACCAGCAAAAATTTGGTGTAAGAGGTAACACAGTTCCTCTACATCATAGAAAGCCATAAAAAAAAACAACAACAACAAAAAAAACCAGAAATACTTCTGAAACAAGGAACTTTGTGTCTAACATACTGCCATTCGATTATGTTACATTTTCTGTAAAAGATCACATGTATCTTCTTCACAGAAGATTTGAACTCTGATACACAACATAAATGAAGAGGGATGCCCAAAAACGTAACTCTTGCTCTTATTTTTGGCTGAAAGAACAAAAAAACTGAAGCATTTTTTCTCCATCTGAACTACTGTGCCTGCACGATCTCAAGTTTTATGTTAGGCATAAAAAGCATGCCCTTAGGTCAGGAGCCTAACGGCTTCACAACAGCTGTAATGACAGAGGGAAGGGAGACACAGTCATGTCTTCTGTTTGACACATTTTATTGGTGAGATAAATGTGATTGCTCCTACTACAATTAAGCAGCTACAGATTGCACTGGGGCAAGCCTGAAAGATTCTGTGTATAGCCAAAAGGTAGGATTTTGAGGGTCTTGTTAGTGTTATGAGGCTGTAAAAAAAAAACTCCAAACACTGCCTTATTCTGCTCCAATGAGAGCAAACAAGGTAATGCAAATAGCAGATGATAGGGGGGGCAGGGGTGGGGAAGAAACCACAAGCAGCATGCTGAGAGGTAGCAGCCCCCAGGAAAGCTAAAATAGAAGAGCTGTGGGGGTTGCAGATACAATCCATGAATTGAAACACATGGCGAAGGGGGGTTGGGGGAAGAATAGACACTCTGCTTTTTAGCACCCTCATCAGTTTGCATTAACAATGAAGGCAGACCATGAGCTGATTTTTGCTACAGTATTACAAAGTCAAAAAATATCAAAGTTAGTTTCCATGATATTTTTTGCAAGTTAAATTCAACCTTACATTGAAAAACAGGTCCATGACTCTTTAGGTTGCATGAACTCTTTGCAGGCTACTGGCAAAAGACCTGGGGCACAGATGTGTATTATGTTGTAAATAGATGTAGCAGTTTAACCTGTTACAGCCTCTCCAGCTGACAGAGGTGATCACAGCCCCAGTGGTGAAAGGAACAGAAACAGGTGAGCATCCTTTAGTGAGACCAGAAAAAAGCCTTTGAAACCAGCTCCCACAGCAGCTTAAGCCAAAGGACAGATTTGGCAGGGGCATCTTGAAGAACACTTACACACCCCAGTCTGCTGACCCTGAGGACAGCACTTCCAGTACAGCAAAAGCTGGTCTGACATCATTCCAAGTATTTACTAATTAAACATTTACCTGAGGCTTTAAAATTTAAAGGGCACAATGGATACCTTTCCCCTATAAATCCAACTCTTAAATTAACCTATTACCCCACATCCTCACTGCCCATTTGCTGTGCATCATCTCATTTGCAGTGCAGGGAAATAATTAAATAGGCTTGTTTGGTGTTTACTTTAGATTTTAAATTTGGGAAAGAAAGGAGAAGTTAAATGCAGCAAGAAAAGTTAAACCCAGAATTTGTATAGTGAGTTTGGAAGCAACATGAAAGGACAATGACTTAAGTCTCAGGATGATAAATTAAAGTGTCATAAATTACAAGGACTAGAAATCGTTGGTTGTATGTGTAACCTGACAGGATTATGAATGGATTACACTTAATCCAGGTAAATGAATATGACCAAATAGTCATTTGTATAAAAAACAAAGGGGAAACCCATGTGTTCCTTGTTTAAAAGCCTTCAGTTGTTTTAGGTCAGGGCAAAAGTAGATAAAAGTGAGAATAAAAAAAAGAATAATGAAGTGGAAAGTCAAAATACACAGGTAAAATAAAGCTATTTGCAAGACAAAATGACTGCTCATGTCTACTGATTGGTATGAGGAAAAGAAGATTAGGAAAGGATACTGGAGACAGGAGGAAGAGACTCAAAAGTGCCAGGGTTTGTGAAACTTGCAGTAGGAACAAGAATCCTCAGTGGTACAACCCAATTACTGCATTACAGCATGTTTTCTCCAATCCTGAAATATCTGCAGCAATAATGCCATAGCAGACATGATGATCTAATGTTAGACGTGGAAAAAAATTATCTCTCATTTCTGTCGGTCCTGGTGAAGTGGTTCATGCAGCAGTGAATATTAGTTTGTACAGCTGATAATCAGTGAGCACATTTAGGATGATCCTCCCAGTATGATACAATCTTTAGCATGCAGGTATGTATTATTTTCTCCCTCATCAGGCACTTATCTCATTAGCAACCAATCTGAAAGGCAACACATACTGCAAGGCCTTACACTCCTGAGCATATGCCATCTAGTATTGGCTCCAACTAAGAGCTAGAAAAACCTGTGTTGTACCCAATCTGCTCTAACCAGAGCAGCAGCCTCTCCCACCAACAGCAAGTCTACCTTCCTCCATCACTCCTGTTCATTAAATGAAAGTGCAGACACATTCAAGGCAAAGTTACCAGATTTGTCCACTCATTTTGAGTCAATGATCCTACTGTTTCTGAATAATCATAATTTATCTGTGACAGCGTGGCCATTTAATAGAAACTTTCTCCTGTGCTGAACCCATCTTCAAGCCTGACATCATACGGATTAAGTTAAATACATAGAAAAGGAGGGACACCAAGTGCTCCCCTATCAACAGAATGGCTTATGCAAGCCGCCCAGTATCTCACAGCTACATAATATGGTACGAACGGCTGGATAAAACTCAAGGAGACAGCGTTTTATCTCTATGGTTTAGATACGACCTACCCTCACCCCCGGAGCTAGCAGGGCACAGCCTCGCATTCACACCACTAGAGGGAGGTAACACTTTGCAAACACAGCAAGGGCCCCTGAAGTTGCTAGTAGAGCATGAAAAAGTCTTCTGAGACCCAGATGCAGTTCTTGAATCTGGAGAACAGTCTAACTTCTGTCCTCAGTTACACATTGCCCTCTACTCCTGTTCTTAAAAATGTAGCCCTCAGCTTTTACTCTTACAGCTTGATTCCTGCAAAATCCTACTACCTCTGTGTCTACTTTTTGGGGTATTGCTCCCACATCCATCCAATCTACCTTTTCCCTTCAACTGAGAGCCA